GGACGTGCCGGGAGGCAGCAGGCAGAGCTTTGGTGCTGACCCTGCTCTGTGCCCCCCCAGGGCCGCGTGCCCTTCGCGGTGCCCGACAAAGTGCAGTGGCCGCAGCTCTGCGAGGCGCTCAACATGAAGTTCAAGGCGGAGGTGCAGAGCAGCCGTGGGCTGACCAAGGAGAACTTGGTGTTCCTGGCACAGAAGCTCTTCAACAGCACTAGCTCTCACCTGGAGGACTACAGCAGCACCACAGTGTCCTGGTCCCAGTTCAACAGGGTGAGCATCCTGGGCTCTGTCCTGGGCTCTGTGCCGGGAGAGCCGCAGAGCCTGAGGGTCCTGCTGTGCTCTGGGACAGGGGCTTTGCTCTGCCTGCAGTACCACTGCTTGTGCCGGGGGGGCTGGATGGGGCACGTCCCTCCCAAGGAGCTGTCTCTTGCTGGAGTGGTGCAAAACCGGGATGGCTGTCGGCTGCAGCAGGGCGGGAGGTGTCGCCTTCCTCGCTTGGAGGGACACAGGGTGCTGTAGGGCCCGCAGACAGGGTCTGCGTCCTCGGGGAGGCATTGCTGGTGCTCCTCCCACGGCTGTGCTGCCTGGCCAGGCTGACCCACGCCTGGTTTGGCAGCACTGGCGGCCGTCCTGCAATCGAGGTCCCGAAGTCTCCACTGCTGTGCCAAACACTTGTGCTGTTTAACAGCAGCTATGAGGCTAGAGCCAGGAGTGCTCATTTTCTGGGGATTTCAACAGGAAAACCTGCCCGGGAGGAATTACACCTTCTGGCAGTGGTTTGACGGAGTCATGGAGGTGCTGAAGAAGCATCTGAAGCCGCACTGGAATGATGGGTAAGGGCTGCCCTGCCCCACGCTGCCTGGCCCTGAGCCCCCCAGCCCTGACACCCCTGCTCTGCCTAGGGCCATCCTGGGCTTCGTCAACAAGCAGCAGGCACACGACCTGCTCATCAACAAGCCTGACGGGACCTTCCTCCTTTCGGAGATCGGCGGCATCACCATTGCGTGGAAGTTCGACTCCTGTGAGTGTGCGCCAGGAGCCAGCTCTCCCTGGCCCCAGCCTGGGACTCAGTAGTCGCATGTCCATGTGGCTGGTGCTGTTCCTCTGGCACCTCCTGTCTCGTCTGGGCACCGGCACTGCTGTGGTCAGGCACCATGGGAGCCTTCTTCGGGAGAGGGGCAAGTGTGGCAGCCTGCGGGAATGCCTTGGCTGCCCCATGGTGGTGCTGCCGCTGCTCGCTGCAGCCATGGCCGCGTCCAGCCCGAGCGCTGGTGTCGGCACGGAGGAGGGATGGGGCTAAACTGTCCAGCTCAGCCGTGGGGTCTTACTCATGGCTGTATGAAACACAGCGACTCTGTGGTGCTTTCTGGTGCAGTGCGTTTGCAGGGGTTGGCTGTGCAGCAAGGTGCTTGATACTGTTCTTTGTGAGAGCGTCTTTCGGATGGTTGTGTGGCAGAGAAGCACCGCAAAGCCCCGCAGTCGGAGGGGGACCTGTCCCCTGTGTGCCCGGACGAGGACAGACCTGCCTCGAGTTCACCCTGCCTCCTGGCTGATCCTGTTTTCTGGCGACCTGCATTTTGTCCTTAAATGTTGCCAGGGGAGGGATGCAGCGTGGGCAATGCCGTGTGATGTTCAACGTGATCTTGCAGCCCGCGTCCAAAGCGGGGCCAGGAGCTGCCGACGGCTCTGGGCATCGCCGCAGTCCTTGCTCTTGTCTTCCAGCTGAGAGGATGTTCTGGAACCTGATGCCTTTCACCACCAGGGACTTCTCCATCCGCTCCCTGGCCGATCGCCTTGGGGACCTCAGTTACCTCATCTACGTGTTCCCTGACCGGCCCAAGGACGAGGTCTTCTCCAAGTACTACACGCCGGTTCTCTGTGAGTCCACGCCAGGTAGCGCTGCCCCTTCACCCCACATGTGTCCCGCTCCTTCGTGCATCTGACATCTGACAGGGGTGGAGCCGGGGCTTGTGCCATCCCTCTGCCCTGGGGCCGTATCCAGCCCGGCGGGGGCTCTGCAGCTCGTGAGCCCCCAGCCCCACTGCAGGCTTGTGGAACATGCCAGCAGCTCGGGGCCTTAGCACTGCCTTCTTTCCTCTAGCTAAAGCTGTGGATGGATATGTGAAGCCACAGATCAAGCAAGTGGTGCCAGAGTAAGTCTGACCCTGAACGCAGACCCTGGGTGGTCCTATGGGATCGTCCCTGGCAAGGTGGCTAGGGCAGCTGGCAGCCCAAGGCACCTCTGCTCTTGGGCTCTGTCACTACCAAAGGCCCTGTTGGTCCTGAGCTGGTGCTGGGGGCCGAGGAGCATGGGCCCATTGCCAAGGCAGGGCTGCGCATTCCCTGGGAAGGCAGGGACCCCCCTCCCCGTACTGCCACCCAGGGGGCTGGGATGGGGACCCTGCAGGCTGTCGCTGTGGGTGCGGGGTTTGTGTCCTGTGCCTGCACCCTGCCAGCCTCAGGAGATGCTGATCAGAGGTGATGGGAATTCCCGGAGCCCAGCGTCACCGTGGGGGAGCCTGTCCCGTCCCATGCCAGTGCTCACAAACCCCCCTGTCCCTGTAGGTTTGTCAGTGCGTCCGGCGATTCTGCCCCTGGAGGGGCCACCTACATGGACCAGGCTCCTTCACCTGCCGTCTGCTCCCAGCCCCATTACAACATGTACACCCAGAAGTAGGTATCACATCCCCTGTACCTGTTCCGCCGTGCCTGGTCCTCCCCCTCACCCCCTGCCTCCCGCAGCCCCGATGCTGTGCTGGACCCTGAGGGCGACTTCGACCTGGACGACACCATGGACGTGGCGAGGCACGTGGAGGAGCTGCTGCGGCGCCCCATGGACAGTCAGTGGATCCCCCACGCCCAGTCGTGACGGGCGGGCGCCTCGCCCCCCTGGCCCTGCGGGGACTGTACTGTGTTCGCGTCTCTGTGCCGGGGGGGGCGGTGGGTGGGCCCTGCCCCGGAGATTTGCTCTGTGCTGCCCCGAAACGCAGGCTGGCGTCCGGCTCTTTGGTGTTTATGCCCCTGTATAAACAGCAGCGGATTTGTCGCATGGTTTTCCTGTAT